CATGGTAATGAATAGTAAGTTGTATGTATAAAGACCTCCTGAGAGCATATCCTACGATCATGTTCTTACTTAGTGTTACCATGTCTTTATTTTTCACACCAATAAATGAAGCAGCATCTGCATCTATTTCTCACTGGATATTATATAACTGACATCTGATCTTGAGTCTTTCATTGTTCTAATCAAAAGGAAAAAAATCCACTATCTAGAAAGAAATAGGCAAGGATTAAAATATTTCAGAAAAAAAAAGGGTCAACCAGAAAGAATTGCCCTAATTCAAACAGCTGTTAAAAAAAAACAAAAACAACTAACACAAATTCTGAGAAAGGATAATACATAATGGAAACAGGTACAACCAAGTCAGCAAAACAACAGTTTATAATTACAATACTATCATTTTAATATGTAAACTACTTATCACAAAGACTAATTTCTTCTACTTCAAACATCTATATACCATTTTGTTGAACAAGTTATCTCAGACTCTCATCTCCCTTCTATTTAAACATACTATTATAATGTTAATTATTCATACTCCCTTCATAGCTTCAAAATCTTTCAGTTCTTCAGTCAAATCTCTCAATTTTGTCACCTTCCTTTCTGATAAATAAATAATTCATCAGCTTCTTATATTACTGGACTCTCATTCAACCCCAAATAAAATTTTTACAGCCTTTCATCACCTGACACTATAACCTCCAAACAGTCCCTGGCTAGCTGTAAACATCGACAGCTGATTTATATCTATAGCTTTAAATTAATTTCCATATAATACCCAGCATTAAACTTATTTATTCTTTGGTACACAATATGCAACATGCCAGAGAAACAAGCCACAAAACAAAGAGGGCACATGTTGCCTATGCAGTGTAATGGCAATTTAAATGATTTTTTTTATATTTATGCAAGTACTAAATAGAGGTATATAAAAGTGCACAAGTATTTAAAAATAGTTTCAAGGAGTTTCTGAAAATGGCTATACTGGATACTCTTTCTTCAGTCCAAGTGTTAGTGAAACAGAATTAGTAGAGTACTACAAGAGCATAATGTTTTATGTGACTTTCATTGAAGACATAACTATTACACTAATATTCTGATCTGTTCTGGACAACTCTGAAATCAGCGTTTTTCTCCTATGAATTTTTAGAAAATGTTTTATAGGAATAACCACTGTGACCACGACTATATATAGCAGCATGGAAAGGAAAAATGAGTTCTGGTAAAACAAGTCACATTCTACCCTAGCCCCACAAGCAACAAAGAAAGACTATTTTTAGAAACTTGTAACATGCCACTCAAGAGTATTTCCCTTTTTATCTTGGCATATTTTAAAGGTAGTAATGTGTTTTAGTTAAGAGGAACAAGATGTAGGAAAAGAACACAGAATCTCAAGTACAAGTAGAGGTTTGTTCTCAACTTAACCACTTCCTATTTAAATAAATTGGACTAAAATGGGCAAAATAATATGGTTAAATGGATAGGAAAGCTTTGCAAATGATATCACAGTAGTGTTATCATTCACTTCACTTTTGAGTTCTAGCAAAATTTGGCTCTTATGCATCATTATAATTTCAACAAGGCTCTATCTAACAAGACTGTTAATGCTAAATGGTCGACCCAATAATGTAAAGATATAGAATTTTGTAAAATATCCATATTCGGGCCCTCCCTGGTGGCACAGCAGGTTTAAAGCACAGCTAAAGAAGCTAAAGTCACTTCAGCATGAGTTCAATCCTGGCCCGGGAGGTGATCCACATGGTGCCGCAGACCTCTCCTGACCCGCCCACTGCTCCCCTAAGCAGTGTACTTTGTCGGTCAGCCTGTTCTGCTCCCCACCATCTCTGGTGAATCCTCTCACCGCCCCTGCACTCAGTTCTGTATGTATAAATAAACAAATCTTTAAAAAATTATATTCATATTCTTTAGCCATTTTTTGCATTTATTACATATGTTCACATTTTAAAAGAAGGGAAAGGGAGAATAGCCTTTTAACAAAATATCAAGTGAGTCAAAAGGTATACTGAAGTTAAACCTAACAAGTGATAAATCAAAAATTAAAAGATGAAGTATACAAAAGTGTAAAAATCTAAATTAATAATTTTCCACTGCCAATATCAATCAAGCCCAAGAATAACTTGTTTTGTTTTTTGTTTTTTTTT